GGGAGGGGTCAAAAAACAAAGGAAGTCCAGCTGCCTCTTAAAAAAGCCCCTTTGAGACATTGAACCCTAACCCTAACCCTTTGAGACTGCAGATAACAGTCAGCTGAAGTGGCCTGCAGTACTGCACCCTAACCACTGCGCCACCTCGGCTGTGACTGTTAAAAATGACACAAAAACTGTACCCAGATGACACACTGTAAGATTAATGATGTAAGAGAAGTGATGGAAAAATAAAACAAAAAACTTTTCAAAACAAAATCACTAAGAAATGTATTTAATAGAAAATCATTTTTTTTTAAAAAAAAATATCTTTTTAAAAAAGCACCTTCGGGACATGGTGCGTAAGATTAGAGGGGAGGGTTCTCGGCGCAGGCAGTCGGAAGAAAACCTACCTCAGCTCCTGACTCTCTTTTGTGAGCAACGTAAGGAGATCCCAGGCCAGCACTTGGCCCTTGTCTTGATGGGTGAATTTATGGCAAGGCTTCATTTGCTGGAGCAAGAGGTGATCCACGCACTCTAGGACTTTCTCCTGCACAGAGGTCTCGCAGTCCATAACGACGGGGATGACTCCCATCAGCCAGGCCTTCTGCATCAGCAGGTTCTTCGGTTGCGACTGTAAGAGGAAGAGGCGTTGGTTAGAAAGCTCGGCCGGGCCAGTCGGATTTAGTTTGTTTTGATGTAAGGAAATTTATATGGCCGCGCATGGCGACTCATGCTGAGATTTAACAAATTACCTGAGTTGGAAGGAACCTTGAAGGCCATCTAGTTCATCCCTCCCACCCAAGCAGGAGATCCTACACTATTTCTGACAAATGGCAGTCCAGTCTCCTCTTGAAAGCTTCCAGTGATGAAGCTCCCACAACTTCCAAAGGCAACTTCTGTTCCATGCATTGATTGCTCTCACTATCAGAAAATTCCTCCTTATTTCTAGGTTGAATCTCTCCTTGTTCAGTTTCAATCCATTATTCCTTATCTGGCCTTCGGGTGCTTTGGAAAACAGGGTGACCCCCTCTCTATGGCAGCCCATCAAATATTGGAAGATGCTCTCCTGTCTCCTCTGGTCCTTGTCTTCACTAGACTAGCCATGTCCAGTTCCTGCAACTGTTCATCGTATGTTTTAGCCTCCAGTCCCATAATCATCCTGGTTACCCTTTTCTGCACTCTTTCTAGAGCCGTGATAGCGAACTCATGGCACGTGTGCCACAGGTGGCACGCAGAGCCATATTTGCCGGCACACCAGCCCTCAGCTATGGTGCGCATGCATGCGCCAGCCAGCTGATTTTCGGCCTTCCAGAGGGCCAGAGGAGACTGTTTTTGCCCTTCCCAGGCTTCCCCGCACATGGGTGTGTCTGTGTGTCACGCATGCATGCGCCGGTGGAGGGGTGCATTCCATTGTGGGTCTTCAGCACACCACTGCTCTTGATAGCCACGATGGACCAGTCCAAGGGCTCCTCTAATTGACAAACCAGAAGCTCACAGAACTACAGCAGAAAGTGTGTCTTCTTAGACCAGTGCTGAGTCATACATCTCTGGGAGCCAGAACCATTAGAAACAGAGGTCATCAAGAGTATAGATTAACGGATCAATTCATTCCTTCAATTTATACTTGATAGGGATGTGTTCTGACTCCCCTCCTCCGTCCAGGAACGAAAGCCAAGACAAATGTAAATGAGAATGTTTTTTAATCAGTCCAGACTCTCGTTGGCTGCAAGCCCAAAATAAACAAAGAGATAAGCACTCTGGCAGCAAGTCCTACAATCCATTCATCCGTCTGTTTCTCTGTT